TGCTTTTAGCGTGGAAAATCCGAATCTAATTATTGGAAAATGGACGGTATAAAAGTCAAATTACGGTATGTAAATTTTGAGATCAATCGCCCCTTCTTGGAACTCTTAACGAAAATGAAACTCAAGTTCAACCCTCCAGATTGCTTTGCTGGAATCTTTCACACTTTCCCGGATACAAAATCTATCATCAATTTTTTTTTATTCCGAAAATTTGAATCCTTCTCATAAAAAATAATGATGCGCCTTTTTGAACGTTTATAGCATCTCGTCGCAATGAGCGAGGGCACAACGTGCCATTTTTTAGATAGCAACTAGTTATTTTCTCTGTCAAGTTCACCCACAGGAATTCGTCAAGAATAATAGAGCTTTTACCCAAAAAACAGTCTAAATTTATCGTAAATTTTCTGCGTAGTTGCGCAGGCTGTTCTCATGTCAAAGGAAAACGACTCAAAGCAGTGACGTTTGTTTGAATTTTTAAATATTCTTCTTGGTACCAAAATAATTCCATGGCAATTCAACAACATGAACGGTTCTGCAAATTCAGCCTTCCCTTGACGGACGAATAATTTTTAGCATGAAATGTAAACGTTGGGTGCGTTTAGAAAACACGCCAACAACATTATTGAACTACTGTAAATTGTTATGACGCAAATATGGTCGTGTTTATTTTGTAATTCCGTGCAATAATTATATTTGATGCCTAAGAATAATTTTATAATTTCAAAATACTCCGACAAAATGGTTTCCTGCAGTTGAGAAAATTGTCCTAGCAGTATTGAGGTCTCTCCCTCTTTATACTGTATATTCACTCATTCAAGCGTACACTCCGAAAGCGTGGCATGAAAATTTGCATCGGATGCAGACGTTGTCTTCGGATCAGGATGATGAAAAGCCAACACGAGTTATTCGTAGAACGTTTGAGGCAGCTTGCTAAATATTTTTGCAGTCCCGTGCCAAATTGAATTCGTATCTTGAATAATTTTCAACCCTCATCATGGTCCTGGCTACCGAATACCGATCCACAGCCAGTCGGTAATGAAAATATACTGTAAAATGTATTTCCTCAAATTGCTGGTGAACACAACAAAAATTGAAGTGTAATCACGTTTTACATACAAATGCGCAGTAAAACCGGGTCCAACTCGTAAAATTTGAAATATTTCATATTGGCGTCATAATGAAAATGCAACGAATGTTCTCTAATCCGACTTAGCTCTGACAAACCCGATCTCTTTTATATAGGAGATTTCTCCGAACAGCGATCATTAGGAATTCCCACTAGAAATATTTACTGTCTTTCCATTTATCGAATTGGTATATTTATACCGCGACGTTGATTTAATTTCTACATTTCTGGGTTCACACATTGAGCGAATTAAAACCGAAGTCTTAAATCTGTATGTACAGTACATTGAAATTCCGTTGCGATAATTTTTATTACTTAAAGATTCAAAAAAATTTTCAGCAGATTCCAGACGGTACCCAACCAAAAGCCCCCTGCCAAAAGCCTCCAATAGGTCAAAAGCCCACCACCTTGCCAAAAGACCCCCTATTTTTTCATTTGATGCAAGTTCCATATTAGTGTCTGGTGGTCCTGAGAAGGGCTGTTTGGCTTCATTAGTCCTCAAAAGGACTGTTATAGAATCATCTTCAAAATTTCATTCTGGTGCCTCTTCCTCAGTGTCACTGATGCTCTCAATGTCATTTTCTTCTTAATGTGGCCCTCTTATCTCATATCCTTCTTCATTAGCACATTTCCAGCGCCTAGTACTGGCATTTGTGTTCTTAACCATGAATAAATAGCCATTGTAGTATGCCTTTTCACCACCCTTCTGATTTTTGATGATTTAAAGCGCACCAGCCATTGGATCTACAAGGTGAACTGCAGATTTTGCAGAAGTCAGCAAGTGATGATTCTTTGACATTCAAAGAATCACTGATGGTCATTTCAGGTGAGGAATCCCTTTATATACTCAACTTACAAACATATTGGTACTTGGCCTTGTGCTGGGTCTGCTAGTGAAAGGTGCAGCTTACCATCAAGAGTTACAAGAATACCTTTAAACCCTAATTTTTGCATGAGGGGGGCTTTTGGCAGGGGGGGGGGGGGGGGCTTTTGGACAAAACACATTCCAGATACCAGTGTTTGCATCCTAAACAAATCAATGATCCAGCATCCAGCCACAGACCTACCAACAAAACTTGTTGCATCTCAAGGACTACAGTGAGCCTTGCCAATATCCTGTTTTGGAAAGACCCACTGAGCCTCACACAAGGCCAAGAAGCAGTCAAAACTTCTTCGATTTTTCCTAGATGAGCCAATTCTGAGCCAGGAAGGAATCACCTGATCTCTTCCTGGCCCAGTCTGAATACCTGGGCATAAAAACCTTCATTCCCCTCTTTGAGAGGATAGGTGAGTAGGAATATAGTGTTAAACGGCCCTTAATCTTAAAATTATCTTATTAATTCTTCTGAACCAATCTACCAATCTTAAAATTCATTCTGCCATTCCAGACAACCATTTGACCAACACCCAAATGATGATCTGGGCAATGAGAATAAATTCCTCTGAAGAAGAGTTGGAGTTCTTCAAAACTTGCATTCTGATGGCTGCTCAATTAAATTCCTTTGTCTGGGATCAAATGGATCCATGACAACAAAGGCAGAAAGCTTTCTGGGAAAAAGATACCTTCCAAGTAGTGTACGTCAGTATGCCTTTTTGTTCACATTGTACTGAAAGTAGAACACACGTAGTGCCCTCACAGCTCAATTCTCAAAATGTTCATTCTACAAAATCATCAAGTATGAAAAAATCCCACGAACTCACCAGCATCACAGTGAATTGATCCTGAAGTTTGTTCCGTCGCACACATGCATTGTATTTTATTATGAGTTTTGTGGTAATGAATGCGCACCTTTTTCTGAATAAATTAATAATCGCGAAAATATTGACTTATCTGCTTAATTTAAAAATGTCAAATTGTTACCCTCGAAAATTCGAGATTTATTCATGGTAAATACCATGCCCGGTTAATATGAGTTCTGCGTGGTGCTTTTGAAAATTGAAGGTATTTCTTTCCAATTGACATAAAATGCAGTTGGAACTTTTGAAGCAAACTTCGTCGCTAATGTACAAAAGGCACATGCCTGCTTTTCCGAATGAAGTCGTCGCAACGAGGAAATCGTCGCAGTTTCCACAATCTTCGCCCCGAGGGAAGGAATGTGGTGAAAACGACCCGCCGGGCCAGGGAAATTATCTGCCCCCTCGTTGACTAAATTACTGCGAGCGGGATCCCATATAGCGAGAGGGAACAGGCAAATGTTTTCCGGGAAAGGACCCACATATCGTGTTCTTCTTTCTTGCTGATCAGGAATTGACCAACTCGTGCTGATATTCATAAAAATGAGTTTGTACTACTGTGCAATATCGACGCATTTATTTATGGACTAATGGCCGAGCGTCTTGAATAATCCTGAATAATCCGACGATGTATAGATACAGTATTTAAAAATTAGATAGACTTTCGACTAAAAATAAATAAGCAAATGCGTTCAGTAATAAGCTATCGCAATATTTTTTTTTTCTCAAAATTTTGAAGATCCACAGAGTCCCGGAGTTTTAAAAGTTATTCTCTGATATGAGTTCCGTTCACTTTTCGCTTGCATTCGATAATATACTGTATTATTTATTTATAATATATTGCAAGCTTTTTATGCTCATCACATGTTTATTTTTATAAGATTTAAATCAGCCTACAAAAGCTAGGATAGTTGAAATTATAATGACTGTATTCAGGACGCATTTTAGGTTGGCTGGCTTCAACTTCGTGTATGTTGAACTGCGTTGAACAAAGGCATTGTCATGCTACTTCATTTTCAAAAATTAAAAATTCAAATGGAGCGATTCTAAACCTTTTCAGATAAAACTCCAAGGATCAAAAACGTTGGAACGAATTACGTCGGGATGAGGCAACAGCTTTAGTTGAAGGGGATGGATTCTCGTGATAATATTCTCCAGCACGCGCTTTTTTTATTATTACTCGTCAATGAAATTATACATTGATGAAGGGAATCAGGATTGTCACAAAAATATTTATCTTCGTTACAAGAAAGTTTTTTTTTCCGAAGTGCATCAAGTCCGGGCTCAGTACCCTTATAACATTTAGGGGTTGTGGAGTGCATTCTTCACAGAAGGTCACGTGCGTCAAATGTCAAACTTCATTCAGGGAAAAATAAATGGAAATGCATTCTTGCGTTTGAAGATCAGAACCATGTTCTTATTAATGTTCCATGCCTGAGGCGTAATAATATCTACAAAATACCAAGAACAGGCATTCTAAAATCAGAACGTTATTTATTTTCCTCTTTTACGACAAATAAAAGTCTTGGTGGCAATAATGGGAATTTTTTCAGTTTTCCGGGGATTTACTTCACTTGTACGGATTAGACAGAATTATGTGATCGTATATTTTCTTTGACTATATTTAAATTAAAGCTTATGTTGGTACGGAATTTACCATTCATTTGTCAAGCTTTCAAGATATTGTATTACGAATTTCATATCGAAGGTAGTGTATTACTTTTAAGCATTAAAGTGGTACACGATGCATATAAAATTCTCCATATATTCTCAGTCATAAGAGAACCTTAAATGCCACATGGATTAAACAAAAATTATTCTTTACGTGGTTTGCCACAAACTTAAACTATGTGGATATCGCTTACACAAGTGATATCCATGGTTTAAAATTTTCTCTAATAAAAAGCAGAAGTACTTCGCAAAGTCTCCGTCACTGCACACATCATGGAATCTAACATTACGAATATAACTATAATAAACCATCTAAACACTCAAGTACTGTACTAGATTTCAGTGAGTCGCTTGCATCGCCTTCAGTACATAACATATATAAAGAGCTCTAGTACAGTAATTTTAAACTTCAAATTACTACCACAGCCGAAAATAATCACATTTTTAAAAACATCATCCTTTCTTACCGAAGTGTACCAGCAGTGCACCAAAAATATTTTTTAACCTCGTGCATGTTTGATCAAATTACAATATTCTGTCTGGCCGAGCCGTAAAAATGCAATTAAAAAATATTTCTAACAGTTCTGTGATTTTCCATAATTTTGCCGAAAAAATTTGAATTAACAGATTTTACGAGTGTGGGGTAAAAATCGAAAGGATTACGGATTTTCGACAAAGTAAAAATTACAATCTCCGAATTAAAGTCGAACTTCAGCACACACTACACTTCGGAGAGGTGATTACAATTTTTTCAGAGGAAATCAGTGACTCGTATTTTTGAAGCAGGATTGGGCCTTGAACAAGTAAATTTTATCAAAACCATTTGGCAGACAAGAGAACACACTTACTGTACATTACTTCACATTTGAAAATGGGCAGAAAGCAGTTGTGATTTCCTTCGCATACTGATGTCAATTTTTCTCCAGGAAAGAATTTTCAAGTTCCGTGCGAAAAGTTTTTTATTCCATTTCTTAAAAAAACTGCAAGTGAGATTATTTATGAAGCAATCCGTCTTCAGCAATAATTTTCCACACCAGGAATTCGTTTTTGACTCCGGGGATCGATCTGCATTATAAAAACTGTTCCTCCCTTATTCGAAGTGTTTCAACTGAAGATCAATTTGTTACCCAGAAGATTTATTCGCCAGTGAGAAAAAAGCTCGTCAACCAACAATTTCCCTAATTAAGGAGTTGATCGTAATCTTAATTTTATTTATTCAAATATTGCAAACATGAACTTCGGCAGTTTGACAATGTTACTCACCGATGACGAGGCTGAGCAGGTCGGCGAAGGCCAAGTTGAAAAGGTAAAAATTGGTCGCCGTGTGCATGAACTTGTTCTTGACAATGACCAGCATCGTGCACGCGTTCCCAAAAACCCCGGTGAGGAACAGCAACCCGTACAACACCGTGATGGGCACCACCACGGCGGTC